ATGTCTGGACCCCCAGGGCTCCTTCCAGCTCTGTTTTCTCCCGTTTCCCATCACCTCTGCCCTCAGGAGCTGCATACCTGTGCTGTGTGCACCACAGCCCTCAGGAGCTGCATATGAAGACGCAGTCTAAAGCTGCCTCTCCTGACCTCTTCATCCAGCTGGATCTGTCACTTCCAAGAAGCAAACTTTCAGATTCCTCCCCTATTTCCGGAGCACCTTGTGCCTGCCCCATGCCTGCCCCAGCAGTGACGGCAGGGGATTTACCACTTTGTATTGTGAGTCTGGTTTTCTAAAGTAGCCTGAAGGTAGAACCACCCATGGCTGAATCCTCGCTTCCTCAAGGACCTGGGCTGTGCAAGAACAGGCTGTGCACCTATCCCACCTGATGTCCATTGCTTGTCATAGGTGTGGGTGGTGTCTGTCTGTATGTCTGTCGGGCTGAGGTGCCCTGTGAGGTTTCTACCTTAGTGACACTGATGTCAGCCCTTACTTTCTCTCATATCTGTTCGCTAACACTACTGGGTTAAGAAGTAACCACCCTCATCTTCAAATTAAGCAGAAAGAAATGTCACCATAGAGTGACAAGTCCCTGCCCTCTTGGTGTGAGAACAGCAGGATTTGAATGGTCAAGTTTATCTCCAGAGGACTCTAATCTAGCAGCACAGCACTATGGGGAAGGAATGGCAGCCTGCCCGAGGAGCACGGACACCACTGTGCTACGTCTGCTCTGACAAATGGCTACCCGTGTGGGCCTGAGTAAAGACAGACTGGACAGACTTGGGCGGCGGGGAGCTGTGGCTGGGACTTACTTTCCCCTGCACACGACTTTAAATATCTGCTTCTTCACCAGAGGAAAGGCAGAAAGATACGGGAGAGGGTCAGGGATGGAAGAAAACTGGGAAGAGGGCAGAGGGACAGAAACAGGGAAAGAGCGGGCAAGGAGACAGAGGGAGCATGGGAGTGGGTCACTAGAGCACTACCTCTCAGGATGGGTAGGCTACAAAAGTGGCTTCTATAAAGCAAAGTCAGCTTCCTCCCGTGTCCGTCCCCAGTGTGATGCCATTCAGCACACGAAAGCGCAGCCAGAAGGCTCCACACAAGTCTGGACAAGTTGCAGATCGCAAGCTGTCCCTCTGCAACTCGAGGTTTCGCCTTGGATGAGCACCACGCACGACCAGAATCACCCACTGAAGGCCCTCTGTGCTGCCCCAGCACAGTGTGTGATCGGCATACCCAAGTTTGTGAACCACTGTGGCAAGTTCCCACCAAATGAGCCAAGTGTCCGCTCTGTCCACTTTTGTGGTGCTGTGAACAGGACCACAGGCCTCTCCTCATCCCAGGCCAGGTGTTTTTAAACATGGAAACCTAAACTTGTCTTGGTGGATGTTTGTGCTGGAGACAAGCTCTTTGCATGTAGCCCAGACTTGCCTCAAATTCATAATCCTGCCTATACGTCACAGGTACTGGGAGCACAAGTGCGTGCCACCATGCCCAACAAAGCTGGACTTTCTAATGGACGTGTTTAATAAGATTTTGTCTTTAGACACAAGATAGGACATGCTTTTCTTGTTTTATATTGGAACTGAACTCTGGGCCTTGTCCAACCTAAGCTGGTGTAGCCCAAATGCTGCGCACAGGCTGTCCACCGCGCCGCCTGCATGAAGGCTGAAGGAAGTCTAATGTGCACACGTCCATTGGGGCCATTTGGCCTCCCTCTTAAGCCACTCAAATATCTATCTTGGCGCAATGAGGAAAGGAAAACCAGGACAGCAAGAAGCAGCTAAAGGGAAGACCCCAGGATACAGCCTTCACAGGGTCCCAGAATATGAGGATTACCAACTTCAATTTGCACCACAGTTAATCTTGTAATCTGTAAGAGGAACAGTAAGACGATTCTCCAGCTGTTTCGTGTATTAATTATTTTACCTTGAACAAAATCATAAAGCCCTATGGCGCATATATACCACCTATAAACTGACCTCTCCTGCAGTTTAAATTTATTCTTCTCAAACTTCATTTTAACATGACCTTAAGAAGAGAGTGTGCCTGCCTTTCACAGAGTTACACACTGAGACTACACAAATATTTTACTGTTCTTATTTTGTACTGAAAATCGATGTGGGATCCAGTGAAATGGCTGGTGACAGCTACAGTCCAGAATCTGCACTTGGGGCTTTTTAGGGACTGATAACATGCAATTATTTTCATTCCTGTATTACTTATATTTTTTAAGATTTTATTTATTTATTATGTATACAGTAGTCTCAGTATTCTGTCTGAATGTGTGCCTGCAGGCCAGAAGAGGGCACCAGATCTCACTGCAGATGGTTGTGAGCTACAATGTGGTTGCTGGGAATTGAACTCAGGACCTTTGGAAGAGCAGGCGGTGCTCTTAACCACTGAGCCATCTCTCAAGCCCCCTTTATTACTTATAAGTTGACAGTATTCTTTTGGTTTTACCAAATTTGCATAGTGCATATGCATGCACACATACACAACTGTATTTGGATCTTTTGTCCACAGACAACTCATCAGAGACAAGGAAGACAGTGCACCCAGAACCTTGATCAGAACACAGCGTCGAAAGTATTTACTGAGGACGGTGTGTATGGGAAAGCGGCCTTTGTTTATACCATGAGTTTCAACTCTTCTTGGAAACACAAGCACATGTCTATGTGTACACATGCACAGGTTCACGCACACACATAAACACATGCACACACACATGTACACATACACGCACATCCATTCATTTCACAAACACAAAAGTGAGAGGCCAGGATAGGCGAGAAGTGTATGTTAAGGTCCCAATTTTCTGTTACTCTGGGAAACTACTCAACAGTCACACGGCTCAAAATGGCACGGTCCCCTAGCGACCGTCATCCTCAGCTATGACAAGAAAATATTATAAACTTGGCAAGAACCCGGCAGCCAGTGGGAATCTGGGGATCCCACCCTCTGCAAGTACCTTGTTTGAGATGTCCAGATTGCAGCTGGCTTCGCAGAGGGCCATCACGATAGGTGCGCTGCCGTCTTTGCAGGCCACGTGCAGGGGTGTGTTGCCGTGCCTGTCTTGGAAATCCACGAAGCACCCATGGCCGAGGAGGGTCTTGATGACCTCCATCTGACAGCGCCTCACCGCGAGATGAAGGGCAATGTGTCCATCCTGGAACCAAGCCCAAGCCCGTGAGTGCTCTGGTTTCCACCCTCGGCCCTCTCTCTCCCCTGTGCGAGGCTTAGCTGGAAACAGGGTGGCTTCAAACACAAGAGAACTTCAGAGTCATTGCCTGGACCCTGGAAAGCGGGGCTTCATCCATTTCACTCCGCATAACTGGAGCTGAGCTGAACACCTGCCGATTCATTTAGGCTCAGAGAGAAGGTCAGACAGCAAGATTCTGCACCTGTCTTAGCACTGGTAGGCTGTAACTAGTAGGTGCCAATTGCCCTTGTGAGCAGATGTGAGAAACACCACTAGTGGTGGCACACGTAATCCCAGCACTTGGGAGGCAGAGGCAGGCGGATCTCTGTGAGTTTCCAGGACAGGCTCTAAAAGCTTTTGCCTCAGGAGAAAGAGAGAGAGAGAGAGAGAGAGAGAGAGAGAAATAATTCCCCCCAGGGCTGTTGAAAGCTCAGAAAGCAGATGCAAGAACCCGGCCAGGGAATTAATAGCACCCTGGTACAGGATCCCTGGGAAATAGTACAGAATCCCTGGGGAATAGATGTGCTGAGCACTGTTGAGAAACAGAGCTTGGGGCCCCATCTCTATTGCCTCTGCCTGAGTTTCTCCACTCAGCACTCTTGGCATTGGGACTTTTGATTGTCTAGAAGAAACACTAGCTCCATCTAACAGATTCCAGTAGCAAATACCCAGCCCAAGTTTGGTAATGAAAATATGTCTCCAGATATTTCTATAAAGTCCCCTGGGGACACAGCTGTGTCCAACTGAGACTGTACCAAGGCACTGCCCCCAAAAAACAATTGCTACATGAACTATAAGACCCTCAGTCTAACTGTACACAGTACTGTTACTGTATCTGTTTAAGTTCAAGTTCAAATAGATTGTGTTGAATTTGCTTAGGTAAAAAGAGACCAGCTGGTCTAAAAGTGAAATTGTAAAACAAATAATAGTGATTTATTGCCTTTTTACAAAAGAGTAAGTGACAAAATAAACACCCATTTCAACATGTATCTAAAATTTGACAATGTGGTCCCTGTTCCACAGTTAACCAAAGTTAAAAAGATTGAAACAGTGGCCAAACTGGCTTGCTCAAGCCATAAGTTTAGTTACACATCAAAAAGAAGATTCTAGAAAATTCCAGAAATTTTTGTAATCAAAGAAACGAAATCACAGTATACTAAGTTCAAGTAGGCAAGTGTCTTGGTCCCTCTACCCCATCAGATCACAGTGAGTGCCACGTAGTTACCCCCAAAAAAGTACCTTGTCAGAGGCATTCAGGTCAGCTCCATGTCCAACCAGACACTCCACGATATCATGATAGCCCCTGGCAGAAGCTGTCAGCAGCGGGGTCTCTCCCTCCCGGTTCTTGATATTCACATTGCAGCCAACTTCACAGAGGGCTTTGGCCACGGAGTAATAGCCATGCCAGGCAGCGCAGTGTAGGGGGGTTTCTTCTTCCTGCTCAAGGACATGGGTACAGAGAAGGAAAATGCAGATGGCAGCAACATCAAGGCCACGGAGGACAGAGACTGCAGTCAATGGGGCAAAAAATTAATCTGAGATAACGACACCAGCGGGAGCCGCTGCCGTTAAGAGGCAGACCCAGGGCTTTCCCTGGTCAGTCTGTCCCCTCGGCAGGAGTGCTAAGTGAACTTGGCTTTCTCAGCATATTAGAGGTCCCTGAAGAGCAAGACTTTTGCGTGGGTGAACTCAGAATACCTTCTGGCAAAGCTGCTCTTCTTTATTTGTCTCTGAAACTAGCAGGAAAGCTCTCCTCTGAGCAGGAGTCCCAGCAATTTCAGGGCTTTGATTTTTGCCAGGTACCTAACTTCAGGATGGCTCAGGGGAGCATTCTGTGAGGTAGCTTGATGACATCTCTGTAACTAGTCCAGGAAGCACTGGCCTCAAAGCTTGGGCATGTGTGGGGGTGGTGGAAGGTTTGCACTTCCATCAGCGTTATCAAACACATCTGTCTACAAGGTTCCGTGAGAAAGAAGTGCTTACAAACAGAACTCTGAAACCCAGACTTGGCAGGGTTCAATCCCTGGTCCCACCACAGACAGCTTGAGCAGGCTGTGGAACTTGCTGTGTGATTTCCGTCCCTATAAAGCAAGGATACTGATATCAGGCTGTCCCGGGGATTAGAACAGGTGAATGAAGAAGTTAGACGGGGAGCTGGGTGCAGGGTGCTGTCTGAGAACCTGTGCTCTGCAGTGGATGGCAGGAAACTGACCTACCTTGTCCTGGAAATCAGGGTTAGAACCGAAGCTGCAGAGAAGCTGCACCACATCCGCGTGTCCGTATCGGGCTGCCACATGAAGGGCTGTCTCTCCAGACTGCAAAAGAAGACCAGAACTCAGAACCGCTCAAGAGACCGTGCCTTCCATTTGCTACCCAGAGATGAAGGGCAGGACCTGGGGTCAGGCAGCCCCTAGGCAGCAAGGGCTGCACACTCAGATCTGGTTCATCTCGTCACTAAAAACAACTCGGTGAGACTATGTTCCCGTTACTGTGAGCGCCATGTTTTACCTCCTTCATGGACAGACAACTTCAGCAGCTCAACTTGAAACTAAGACTCTCCCTTCCCCCACTCTTGTACACACGCACAAACCCCTTTAAGGTCAGGCTCATCATTCTGCAATTATTTAAATGTGTAGCTTTTTAATTAAATTATTAACTACTTTCTCCTTTCATTGCCTTATTTGTGCTCAGAGACTCATTTATTGCATTCTCCGAGATTTTAGAGAACACAGCCATTTGCTCCTGGTATATTTCTGTGAATAACAAATATAACTTATGATGCTTTGCTTGTGTCTGCACCTGCCAGGGTCACGCTACCCTAACTACAGAAAACATTACTGTCAACTGGCAGCAAACTGCGGTGATGGATTCCTTTGCTGCTGTCCAGATCTTAGTCACTCATAGAAGGCCGTGTGCAAAAATCTTGGTCCCCTGGCTTTGAGTGATAGAACTTTAGTAGGTGGGGGCTAATGGAAGTTAGGTTACAATAAAGGAGACATTGAGGATGTCTCTCTTTGTCTCTGTCTCCCTCCTTCCTTGCTGACAGGAGGTGAACTTTGCTCCAACATACAACTTTAAATACTTTGTTTCCCCAAAAGCCTAACAATAGTTAGAAGCATCTAAGGTAGAAACTCAGATTTAAATATTGGGCCAAGACACAGTCAAAAGAACAACAACAACAACAAAAAAGAGCCTTTAACTTTAAATCCCCTGCTGCAGAATGTGGTCCTCAATCTTTATCTTTGGGTTCTGGTGTACCAAGCAGGCCAACACTCAATGTAGCCCAATTCCTCTTGTTTCTCTTAAGATGCACGGTCTTACCTTGTCTTTAACATCCAAAGGGCATTTGTTCTCATTGAGAAATTTCAGAGTATCCACGTGACCATGCCGAGAGGCCCAGTAGATGGCATTGGATCCTCCCTGCAGGGAAAGCAATGCAGAGTCACATCCAGAACTCCTGGACCATGCACCCATTAGAATCACAGGGCTTCCCTTCTTGTGGTGTAACAAATCCCAGAGGAGCCTCTTCTCGGTTTCAAGGCGTTGGTAATTATACCATGGTCATGTACCACATTAACAGCAGGGGAGGCTCAGTGGGAAGCTGAAAGAGGGTCTCTGTGTTATCTTTGCAAGTTTTCAAAGTAAAAACAAAACTTTCTTTTTTCTTTTTTGAAGCCTTTTCAATACCAACCTCTAGCTAGATCTCCTAACCGTACCCTCAGTATCCACAGGGGACTGATTCCAATCCAATCCTCCACACAGGTACCAAAAGAAAAAATTCATGGGTGTGCAAGTCGCTTCTACAAAATGATGTAGCTTGCACAGAACCGGCACATCCTCCAATGCACCCTAATCACCTCTGACTTACTCCTAACACCTGATACAGCTGAAACACCATGGGAACAGTTGCTATGCTTCAGCATCTAGAAAACAGTGAGAAGAAACACATTCTGCAATTTATTGCCCCCTCCCACACACACTCTCAGTCCGCCTTTGGTCAGATCAGGGATGGAGCTCATGGCTCTCCGGGACAAACTAGAGTTTTTATGGCAGCTGATGAGAGCTCCGTGGTCGTGATCATCAGCTGTCACTGAATGACGTCTGCCTTTACAACGCTGTTTACACTAGGATGTGTGTCCATATCCAGATTCGTGATGCACACACAGGCTAATGAATTTCTGATTACATTAACTACACAGTAAACACTTTTCCAGGTATTACTTGTAACACTGCTGAGTAAATGTGATCTGCAAAGCATAAGGCACGAGAAAGGGGCAGAGCCTGAAGGGGGAAATGTGAGCACCTTTGCCCAGGACTTGTCAGCCTGTGCAAGGCTCTCTATGCAGCGCCATATAGGAAATCACAAAAGTATACACGCTCTCCCACTTACTGCCCATCTGATTAGGAAGACAGCGGGGAACCCATGATAAGAATTTGTTTTTAATAATACAGAATTATGACCTTATCCTGGACATCGATCCTTGAGCCTCGTTTGATGAGTAACTGAAGCATCTGGATATTCCCACAGCCGGCAGCAATCAGTAACGGAGGTGTCCCATGCTGAAAGAGAAGAGGAAGCTACTGTCTGTTTTTCAGGTTGAGTAGGAAGGGGAAAGCCTATGGAGTCACCAATATCTTCTGCCTGCTGTGTCCACACCCTGCCCCAGATCGAGGAACAGGAAGGGAAGGACCAAAAGCACCTCCTTTTTCAGATGTACACTCAAGGATGTAAAGGAAGGCCCTCAATGCAAAACATCCTTATTTGCAACTCAAATCACTCTAGACAGAAAAGATTTTCCCCACAGAATGGAGGCTCCATTCGCAGGGTGGAGTTGGAGAAGCAACCGGGGTCCCTCCCAACTTGGACTTCTGGGTGCACAGTCTGTGATGCAAGCCTCTGGCACCTCTGCAGAAGAGAGACAGACCTTGTTGGGCTGGTTAACGTCATAGCTGGACAGCGAGCCCAGAAGGTGCTGCAGGCCTGGGACGTTGTCATCATTGATGGCATGGATGATGGCTTTCATCACAAAGGAGTCTTCCTCGTCCTGAGAGACATGAGGAGGAAAGAGTCGCATACTGGCCAGGATCCTCATCAACACAGCGGGTGAACCCTGGTTTGTTTGCCATAGGGGCATTCTAAGAAGAAGGGTCGGCCACTTAATCCCCAATGCACGGTCACAAAGGGAGCTGGGAGGTGAACTTCTGCCCTTTCATGCTGCTAACCATTACCAGTTACTGCTTAGCACCTGCATTGTAACCGAGAATGAACTGTTTCTAAGGCTCTGATTTTGGACAAGGGTACTGACTGATGACCCTCTGTTTATCTTTGGAATCTGTCAAAACAGAGTTACCAGAAAACACTGTGAGAGGTTCCTCTGAGACAGTCTCTCCTGCTTGATGAGGAAGGAGAAAAACCATAGAACCAAGGAAATCCATAGTTTCTTTAAAGAAGACAATCTCATTTGCTAAATTTTCCAGTTACAAAATTATCTTTTTTGCTCTTTTCTCTCTCTCTTTTCTATTTTTCTTTTTGTCATTTGAATGTCTTTTTTCTCTAGGTCTGAAATATAGGAAGGTAAAATCCTCTTAATGCTCAATAAAAATGCATGTGTGAGCATGTGCATGTGTGTGCATGCACATGTGTGTGTGCGTATGTATGCATCTGTATGTGTGGTGTTTGTGTGTGCCCACATGCATGCATACAGCCTGCAGTCCTGCACAGTCATTAGCAAAAGACAGCCTACAGCCCCCCCAGTCAGCCTACAGCCCCCCACAATCAGCAGAAGACAGCCTACAGCCCCCCACAGTCGGCAGATGACAGCCTACAGCCCGTCACAGTCGGCAGAAGACATCCTACAGCCCCCCACAGTCAGCAGAAGACAACCTACAGCCCCCCCACAGTAAGAAGAAGACAGCCTACAGCCCCCCACAGTCGGCAGAAGACAGAGCAGGTGAGATCTCTCCTAGGGCTCCTACCCTAGCTTTCACATGATGCAGGACTGCTAAGAACACTGATTCATGAGCTTCAGTCATCCACTACAGCATCCCCCAGTCAGACCCACATTCCCATTTTTCCCTGGCTCCACTAATACCCTCAAGTCCTTCCAAAGTGGTCTTCCTTCCCCGCCTTCATAACTTCCTTCTCTCTGGCTTTCCTTCGTGTGTGTGTGTGTGTGTGTGTGTGTGTGTGTGTGTGTGTGTCGTGCGTGTGTCCACACATTCCTTCTCATCTCACTCTACAGTTGTAGACTAAAGGTGAAGCACTAGTGCACAGCGTAGCATCAGGAGAAAAGAAGAGCTGGTGTCTGCTGCCATGTGATCATCGCCCTAGGAGTTCCTAGCTCTGTCCAGGAAACACCGACTATTGGGTTACAGGCCATGGTGGTTCCCACAGAACCATTGTGTCTGCCTTTCCTGGAGTCCCCTTCACTTCAGCGAACAAAGCTCCAGTGTGTGAGTGGCCGGAGAAAGTCTCACTGAAGTGAGAGATGTCTGGCTGTATCTGAAGAGCTCATCAGTGATTGGGTTTCAGTTTAGACATGGAGAAAATTGTGGTGCCATTCACAAGGACTTTGGGCAAAAAGTCAAGACAACGTCAATAAACAAAGTGAATATGGCCTTCTGGTCTACCACGAGACAGGCACTGTGCTATCCTTGGTGTTGGTGGGGGAAGGAAGTGAAGGCTCTCTGTCTTTTTGTGTCACCGTGACTCTGTATTCTCTGATTGGTGGCAGAGTTCCTATGCTCATTCATGAGAATTAGTGTAAGCTCGTTCTTCTTCCACTAGTTATCCTCGTGTGTGTGTGTGTATGTGTGTGAGAGAGAGCGCGCGTGTGTGTGCACATGTGTGTACACACACATGCATGCTTCGTGTATGTGGTATGTCCGTGTACACAAGTGTTTACGGGAGGAGTAGTATTGGAAACAGTAGGGATGGCAGCTAAGACAAGGCCAAGTCAACTAAATGAAAATCAAAGACGAGAGCAGACAGGGCACAGAGTCAGCCCACCTCAGGAGTAAGTGTGAGTCTGCTATTTCCATGACGTGGGCTTTCTGTATTGATGAACAAACAGAACAGTGTAAACAATTTAAACACAGTCGTGAAAGAAGCTGGCCAAGGCAAACAGGATTGCTTACCAGAGTATCATCGCTTCTGGCCACGCTCATGTTACTTCTGGACAAAAACGACCGGGATAATCTTTGGCACAGTGATATCAAGCGAACAGATTGCTAAAAACAAAATAAACATGAAGTCAAGGGGCGGAGGAAAGAGAATTTAGGAAGAAGGCACTGAGAACATGTTCACTGCCAAAAGGCCTCCAGGGGTGGGCACTCCATGGCAGGCTGGGCTATTTGCTTAAGGAAGTATTCTAAAGGTCATGTGCTCAGACAGCAAGACAGAGAGACTCTGTGCATTCACTACGACCTGCGGAAGTGGGTGCCTCATATCCCATGTCTCTCTCTGTGCCTTGTTTTCTAAACCCCAACAAAACCCTTGTGGGATCTTCCTGGGTCCAGCATGGGATGCAAGGGCCTTGCTCTGAGCTCTCTGGGCCCAAGTCAGCTAAAGGAATTCATGTGACTATTAGCACGTACAGATGGGAGACAGATGCACTGGTCTGCAGTACAACCTCCTCCATATCCTCAAAGGCTGAAGGAAGCCATGGGGAAATGAAGAAACACGAGGGAAGGAAAGAAGAAGAGAGAGGGAAAAAAAGAGGAAGAAGGGGGAGAGAGACCGAGACATAAGCTCTAAGACTTGTTGGCAGTCTAGGTATAAAACTGAGGTACAGCACTAGATCAGCCAGGGAGAAGGACAGGGGCTTGCTCCCTCCAGATCTGACCGAATCTTGGGCACTGGAAGGCACACCATCACCTTCTGATCCAGGAATTTTGATTGCTTCAAAGATGCCTGAACCAGCATTCCACCTAGGTCACAGGGAAGGCATCACAGGGGAGAAGGAGAGGCCATAATGCCTGGGCTTATACCCCATCCTGGGTCCCCCTGCAAGCCCACGAGGAGGAGGGAGGGTTTCTGATCCAAGCTTCAGGCCTTGCTGCTCACCAGGAAGAACTGGTTTATTTAGAATGTGATTTGTTACAGTTGGAAAACCGTTCACTGTAACTTTATTGTACTGATTTCAAAATCTGCTTTGGGGATAATCTAAGAAAAAGAGCGTGCAAAATTTCATTTCAAAGGATAAGCTAAATAGCCCTGAAATATGGTTTGTGCTTGTCTTTGAAAGTCACTAATAAGAGCACAGAAGTTTGCAGACCAGCCTCTTGTTAAATAAAGGCAGTTACCGATCCCAGGATGAGAAGAGTAAGCCCTGACCAGACAGAAAAAAAACAGAGTTTGATGCCTCCGCATCGTAGAGTCTTACTTTCCATTTCTTCCGAGCTGCAAACTTCTTGAATTTCTCCATGTTTACTGCTGAGGCTTTTCGACTAAGAGCTTGTTGTGTATCTTTAGGCTAAAATGAAAATTCAAAATAAAATAAAATAATGAAAGCTAATTACAGAAACGGGTTAAATGGTAATGCTTTAAGATCCCTCACTACTCTGAAAGGCTTACATACTCACTATCCTAAAATAACATACAGAGTGGAGAACAGCATTCAAGATCCAGGAGCTAGGCTGGGATGCAGCTCAGCAGGTGCAGAGACTTCCTAGCATTCAAGAAGCTCTGGGTTTGATCCCTGGCACCTCATAAACCAAGCAGGGTGGTTCATGCCTGCAGTCTCAGCCCTCAGGAGGGGAAGGCAGAAGGGTCAGACATTCACGGTCATCCTTGCCTGTATCCAAAATTGAAGCTAGCCGGGCATACTTGGGACCCTCCCAAAAAAGAAAACCATCTAGGGAAGAACTAGGCTCTGCCAGCTAACTCTTAATGACTCAATATTTTGTATAAGACATAGAAAGGGCATCTAGAACAGAAGGCAAGCTTGTAACCAAACTCAGTGACAGTCTTCCACAGTGACAGTTTGGGAATGGCAAGATTCGTGGAGAGGCCTTTTGTGATAGGTTTGAACTTGAGTCTTACTAAGTGATGTCAAGTTGGGAGGGACCCTAGAGGTCTGCACATTTGGCCCATCCTATGGGCACTCAGACAAGTTCACTGCATCTTCCTCAGCAGACACACGTAGGCACAGGCTCTACCCAAGTGGTAGAGCTAGAGCCCAGGCCTTCCATAATCCCCACTGATGAGGCCCATGGGTTTGTTGTCAACTACTAGATACCTTTATTATCGATTGGATCTTAAATGTTCACAATGCCTCTTATTCTAACGGCTTAGTGGCCAGCTTGTGCAACTCCTGGGCAGGAAAGAAACTTTGCAGTGGTGGAGGCCACTGGAAAGAAGGTGAGTCCTTGAAGGAACCTACCAGGACCACTGCCCCTTCACCCCGCCAGCCTGCCTGGCTACCCTGTGGTCAGCGTCTCCACCCACCACATTCTCTCTGCTGTAATGAACCATCTTGCTAGAGGCCTCAATGACCATGCCCGCTGTCCACCACTCTAAAACTGATCCAAACCAGCCTGTCCTTCTGAACAAAGACCTTTTCCCAGGCACTCTGCCACAAGGACAGAAAGCTACACATTTGCCAGCCTCAGTTCCTCTTATGTCAGGCTGAAGCAAATTCAGTTTTGTTTGCCCAAGTACCAATAGGCCAGCAATGTAAAAGTGTTATGTGTCAGGGTCAAGGGTCCAAAGAAAGGACAGCTTCCCCTACTGCTGTGTGGAAGGAGGGTGTGGCGTCTACAGACCTTCAGATTTTTCAAAAGATCCTGAGATTTGAAACAGCTATATGATAGAAAATAATTCAAGCTTTAAAATGCTGCTTGTACTGTAATTCCATAGGTTGCACCAAACACGTCTGCTCAACAGATGTGACTTCTTCCTGCTCTGAACAGACCATTCTTCTCCCTCTGTAATCACTGGGACACACTGCTGCCTACCACGCTGTCTTACAATTACGGGACCAGTAGTCAGTTCACACTCCAGCACGACCCACACGTGCTCATACCAATCCCTGAGGAATGATGAGAACCCCAAACATAAGAAGCAACTCGCCTTAATCCAGGGGTGCTGCAAACTGTCCTGGATTGTCATCCTTTTCCTTTGGGGAAAAAAGGAAGAAGAAGAAAATTCTCATGACATTGAGACAGGGGTAAGGTTATCTCCATGCTGGCCCAGTCTACCAAGCAGACACTCTGGATGCAGTTTGGGGCCCACATTATCAACAAACAAACCCCGAGAGCAACCCTGCAGGTCACCAGCTTAGCTACTGACTCGTCCTCTGTGCAGGGACGGAGCCAGCAAGCAGGCAGACTAAATGCGCCTTCTGCGGCACTTCCTTCTGGGGCCTTCTTCCTTTAGCAAGTAGAACAGTGAGGGTCTGACAAAAGGTGGCCACACACAGAACACCTGCTGTTTCCAGTCCCAGCCACAGGAGGCTCCGCCGTACAGGAAGAGGGGACACTCACTTTGGATCCTTGACCAGCAGTCTCCTGATGAAATCTTTGGCAAGGGCACTGGTATTACGGAAGAATTCCTCTTCAAATTCATAGTTGACAGCAGATACATTCGCTAATGTTTCTTGCTTGGTGTCTCCAAGAAATGGGGAGGCCCCACTTAGGCTGTTGAGAATAAAGCAGGGCATTAGGAGAACATTAATGACCACTCATGTGGAGTCACTGCTTCTTCTGAGTCTCTTGTGGGAAATGCCAAACAGGAGTAGAGCCTGATGCGGGATTAGTCACTTCAGAATCAACCACACATCGCTACGAACAAAAGTACTGACTTCATGCAAAGCCGTCCTGCTAAAGGTTCATCTGGGGCTAGAGAGATGGCTCCGCTGTTAAAGTGCCTGCTGCATTTGGACCTCCAGAATCCACAAAGAAAGCCGGGCACAGTGGCATGTGACTGTACCCCTAGCAATGGGTGACAGAGAAGTAGATCCCTTAAGCTCGCTGGCTAGCCACTATAACCAAATCAATGAGCTTAAGGTTCATAAAGAAACCCTATCTCAAAAAATAAAAAGTGGTGTGCAAAGCAATCATTCGGACCTGTGTACACTCACACTAACAAGTACAACACACACACACATGCTATGTGGTATTTACATCACACACAAACACCCCTGCACACGGTCATTTGAACCAGTAGGTAGTTTAAAATAAAACTCTTCTTCCTATTTTCTCGATGATAGACAGCTAGAATTCCTCACCATGATTATGCTACAATCTCTGGCAATTCATTTTGATTGAGGAAGAATAAACCCAAATAGCCTAAAATAAACCCCCTTTTAAAGGTTTGGAATGAAGATGCTTAAAGGAGAATATGCACGAGCTGAAAGGGCCCACATGATCTATCTGGTTGACACTTCTGGTCTCAGAGATAAGGAAAGAATACATGAGTTGTAGACTCGATACTTACAGAATGTAGGTTATTACCCCGATGCTCCTGCACACAGAAACAAAAACAAAGCCAGGTTAGGAGAACAGCCAAAGAGATCAGAAAGACACCAACACCAAGGACATTCTCCTTACCACATGTCTGCCTCGAGACCAAGGGGCTCATAGTTGACAATCTCTGGAGCTACGAGAAAATAAAGACTCATTAGCTTGGGAGGGCTGCAAGCCAACAGAGTCTACCCTCATGTGACAAACAGAAACATGGACAGGAAACAACCCCAAAGCCAGGGAGATTCTGCCAGCAGAATGTGGATGAGATGTAAGTGAGCTTAAGGGCCAAGAAAATTTACCCACGAACTCTGGTGTCCCAAATATATTTTTGAATTCATTTCCAAAGTCGATTTTATGGGCCAGGCCGAAGTCGATGATCTTGATCCGAGGCTTGGACACGTTTCTATCCAGAAGCATTATGTTTTCCGGCTGAAAGGGAGCAAGAAAGAGGAGTAAAGGTGTCAAATGGTCCTTCTTCGTGCTTAAAAAAAATAGACAAAACCCCCAAGAGGAGGTAGATGAGAAGAGAACTGGGAATAACAGGTTTGGGGCTCAGGGTTTCCAGGAGGTCTGAGACAAGAATTTGAGGCCTGAAAACCCATGGTAAGGACAGGGAGGCAGGAAACAGGAGGCAGATCTAAAATGTCTGTTATTAAGGTAGGATGACGAGGGCATCATCCTTCTTGACAGTTTGAGGAGAAAGCAGAACTTGGAGTCTTTCCCACAGAAGCAGATCCTGTGTCTGTCTGTCATCTACCCTCCGGTCCTGATAGCTGCCCGCGGGCACTTATTTATGGGCACTGCCAGCTCCCCAGGTCAGAAACAAGACATCAAGCAGATGTTGGGCACAGGGACACAGACATGACATGGCCTTGATGGTCCTGCTATAGGGAAAACTACAGGCCACGTCGGTCTTCTGCAGTCTTGATCTAGCTCAATGGCCTATGCCAGCCTGTGGTCACCTCCAGTCCCTCTATCAGTCCCTTCCTCTTGTCCCTATGCTGTCTTCCTTCCCCCCTAAAAGATTAAGACTCCATAACGGCTAGAAATGGAGCTCACACATTTCCCATCCCCCATACAGCCCTGCCTCCAGTGGGTAAGAGACTGGCTATACCAGCAAACTTTGGGGTTGGGTTGGCTTGACAGTGAAGGGGAGGGTCAGACCCCGGGCTTGCATCAAGAGAAAACACACTGTCCACCAAATTTCCAGCCATAGGAGGGTGAAAACTGTGCCAGTCACCAGCCAACCCAGCCAATAGCCTAGTGTCCAAGAGCAGCCATTGCCAAAGCACCTGGTTAGGAAGCCCCTCTGCCTCCTTCCCAGGGATTCCTGACTGTGACCATTGATCTTAAGCCTCTACCCCACAAAACAGAGATTAGACACCCCAGTCCTAGGAAGACCTCATATGCTAATGAATTACAGAAACAATTCCATCTGTTAAACCCACATCGGGGAAATCTTTACTCGGGAGCCTCAGTTGCTCTTAGCCAACAAGACACAAAGGCTGGTAGAGGGATCCACTGGCTTCACCGGCTTCCACCGGCTTCACCGGCTTCCACTCACAGTGTGTGTTACCTTCAGGTCAAAGTGGGCGATCTGAAGCGAGTGTAGGTAGTAAACACCACTGAGAATCTGCTTGAGAAATTCCGTTGCTTCCTCTTCAGTCAGGGATTCTTTCTCAGCCAAGAAGTCAAACAGTTCACCCCCTGCAACACTGAGAGCCAGGAGCCAGGGTTAATGGAGATCCTCCTCCCGAGTCTTCTGCTCCTTCTCTCATGGGTGACTGGCAACTTACAGGCACAATTTCAGGAAAATGTGATGAAATAGCTATGGGTACTAAGGTGCCACATTCACAAAAGGTGGGGACAGAGCAATGAGAGGCTGTAGGGAATTAAAAAGGAATAGGGGTATCTGCATACTGTGTGTGCACTCTTCACATAGGTGTAGGCCTATGTGGATGCCAGAGGGGATACCTTCCTCAGCCTCTTAATCCCCTTATTCTATTTATTTTAGTTTATTTATTCATTCATTTACTTATTCGTCTATTTATTTATTTATTTTTATTTTAGTTTTTCAAGACAGGGTTTCTCTGTGCAGCTTTGGAGTCTGTTCTGGAACTCACTCTGTTGACCAGGCTGGCTCGAACTCACAGACATCCACCTGCCTCTGCCTCCCGAGTGTTGGGATTAAAGGTGTGTGCCACCACTGCCCATCTCACCTTATTTTTTAAGATGCTGCTCTCTGAGCTCAGAGCTCCCTATTTTGGCTAGAGTGGCTGACCAGCAAGGCCCTGGGATCTGCCTGTCTCTATCCCACAGCACGGGGTTACAGAAGCTAGTGGCCACACACAGCTTTTACATGGGTACCAGGGATGTGAACTCGGCTCCTCACGAACGCTCAGCAAGCATTTACTCACTGAGTTATCACTCCAGCCTCTAGCATTTCTTTACATTTTGATGACATTTCAAATTAGAATTTTTAACTCTCTGTTCAGGGATGGGGAGCTACACCCAGCTTTGTCTAGGACTCAAAGAATAATTCATCCTATATGTTAGAGAAGTAATCAGAAGATTCCTAACCTGTATTTCAACTAATTTTAAATTGATTGCAACATGGTATCATAAGGATTTTCTTTGGTCTACATTTGTTTATAAGTGAATATGTGCATATTTATAAATGCAATTAAAAACAATTTACTAATAACTTCAAGAAATATTTTAGTTGCTAAGAATGAACTTATGAAAGACCACAAGGTACATGGCTAGCGGAAGATTTGTTGAGTCTGTCACTGCCCCACCCCGCTAGACAATAAACCCACTGAGGGCAGCAGGCAGAGCCTGCTGTACACTGCCCTACCCACAGCACAGTGCCAGGCTCACAGTAACAACTCAAAACTTTTCTATCTAGTAAAGAGAAGAACAATTCCTCCAAAACCCCACAGGGGTGGTTAACAGAAAACAACAGGGAATGTTTAACAAGAGTCCTTGTAAGGTAATCTTTACCAAATTTAACAATTCACAACATTGTAATTAAATGTGATTATGCACATAACGGCTATGGTCTGTATTGTTCAGCAGGCCGGGACCCCACACACATGCAAGTGAATAATAAATCTACACCCATTCAGTATAAACAGGCTAGAGAACGTGGGTCTTATCCTGAAGGAAGGCTTCTCACCCCACATCCTCAGCCTCCATGTCAGAAGCTGTCTGCTTGCACAGCTAGGCTCCACTGACCTGCTGTGTGATGGTTTCCACTGGGCACTTTTAACAAGCACTGAAAACACTGGGAACCACTTCTTGGGGGGTGGGGAGGCTATCCCATGCTCTGTCATCACTGGAGGGCTGTTGACCCAGCCTGGGACTCCAGAGGACAGTTGGAGTCAACAAAGAGTGTGAACCTTGTCAGTGAGGTGCCTGCCTCTCCCGGCTGCATCTCCCAGTGGAGCGCTGAGAGATATATTCAGCCCCTCACTCTAGGCTCCACAATGCCCTTGGCCACACTCCTCCACTTCTCCCCATTCAAAATGCGATGCCCAGTGAGTTATTGGGATTGAAACAGCTAGAGAAGGAATCGTTCAAGTACAGGGAGGAGGAAAAGACAGGGAAAACGAGAAACCACAAAGGACCCTACACAAAGAGAGCGATGGGCCAGTCTGCCTGCTCCTCCAGCCTCTTCTGTACTATCTATGATGGAAATGGCTACAGCCCCCTCCATCCAGACAGATGGCATTCACATTGCATAACCTAGACTCAGGGCACCCAGGACAGATAGTTTTCTAAGAAATAAACTCTAAGATTTATTTGTTTTATTCTATGTGTATGAGTGTTTTGTTTGCATGTACTTATGTGCACCACAGGCATGTCTGGTGTTCATGGAGGCCATGGAATCCCCTGGAACTAGAGATACAGACACTGTGAGCACCCACATGGGTGCTGGGATTGAACCCCGATTTATGTAAAAGAAGCCAGGACTCAACCACTGAGCCATTTCTCCCGCCCCCAGGTTAGACTCTTAATTCCCTCTCAGACTTCCTGCAAACTGAAGTTCTCTCTCTCTCTCTCTCTCTCTCTCTCTCTCTCTCTCTCTCTGAACTTCATTCTCCCATCAGTAAGAGCCACAAAATAATCCTTTGAGGGTTAAAGATGTTGGATGAGGCTGGGCAGTGGTAGCACACACCTCTAATCCCAGCACTCGGGAGGCTGAAGCAGGTGGATCTCTGTGAGTTTGAGGCCAGCCTGGTTTACAGAGTGAGTTCCAGGACAGGCTCCAAAGCTACACTGAGAAACTTTGTCTCAAAAGAACCAAACTACAAAATATGCTGGATGAATGTTGATCACTGCCCGAGTCTGGCACAAGGCAGAGTCCCGAACAATAAAGGAAGAAGGCCGAGCCCCCATAGCACAGGACACAGAATGGCTCTGACCAGGAAGTTGTCTATTCTCAGCTGTTCCTCAGCTGGCCCATGCTGGGGCCAGACTGCTGAGATTCCCAGAGAGCAGAGGGAAGAACAGAAGAACAAACAGAACAGGGCCTTTCCCTTGTGAGTTTGGTGCTGTTCCCACCTCCTCTCTCTGCCTCTCTTCAGGGCTTCCCACCTCCATCTGACACTGGTGGTGCTTCCACACAAACCCATACCTTCTCCTGCCCACAGGAAACTCTGTATAGCACATAGGCGGATGGATTCCTCTAGTGACTCTACCGACCCTTCTTCCTGTCCCAGATGGTTGACCTTGTTGTCCTGGGCTTTGGCTCTGTCCTCTTCAGTGGCTGGCTCTCCCCAGCCCCCCTGCTAATGACTCTCCCCAGCACCCCCTCCAATGGCTTTCCCCAGCCCCCCTGCTAATGGCTCTCCCCAGTACCCCCCTGCTAATGACTCTCCCCAGCACCCCCTCCAATGGCTTTCCCCAGCCCCCCTGCTAATGGCTCTCCCCAGCCCCCCTGCTAATGACTCTCCCCAGTACCCCCCTGCTAATGGCTCTCCCCAGTACCCCCTGCTAATGACTCTCCCCAGCACCCCCTCCAATGGCTTTCCCCAGCACCCCCCTGCTAATGGCTCTCCCCAGCACCCCCCTGCTAATGGCTTTCCCCAGGAAACTCTTGCACCCTCCTGCTAATCTGCTGTTTCTCTTCAGATCCGAACCTCTCACTCCCAGGAGTTCCAGCCTTTACAAGGCAGGATGACAAACGTAAGGTGATCCTAACTCAAACCCTACAAAGCCACTCAGGCTCATGGAGACTCTGGTTCTTTTCCTATAAATAAGAGGGCCAACCACACTTTTTAAATAAAGTTGCCCCAAGGTTCCCAGGCACATCTAGGTCCTCTGTGGTTAGCAAATATTGATGCCTTTCTTCCTGCTTAGCCTCTACTAAAACTCCTCCCACAGTGGCGGTAGAGTGCTGGAATATTTAATAGCAGCTCTCTGGAATTAGGGTGAGACAAAAGCTGTCCCGGATGTGTTCTGTCTCCGTGGGTCCAGGCAAGCCACTCACACAGTATCAGGAACAGTGGAACTGGAAATGTATGCACACAGCAAACCCTTGTCCTGTGGGTAGCTGGCTCTGCCATGATCCTAGCCACTGCGGTCTTCTAAAGATGGCTAGACAGGATCTCACTCCTTTCCCTCTGCACCTAGAACCTGCCATCATCCCAAGAGATGTCACCGATGGCTCCATTCTGCCATCGTCCCAAGAGATGTCACCCATGGCTCTGCTCTGCCATCATCCCAAGAGACGTCACCTATGGCTCCACTCTGCCATCATCCCAAGAGATGTCACCATGGCTCTGCTCTGCCATCATCTCAAGAGACGTCACCTATGGCTCCACTCTGCCATGAGTGCAGGAGGCCCCCTGACTACTCTGGCTACAGGGCCAACACAGAAGTGACTATGTGCCAACTCTAGGGTGGTCATCATAGGCAGGGTGGGGGGGTTCATCCCACCTGAATCCCTTCTGTAAGATAACACATGTGGTTATCTGCAAAACACATAGAAATGCCATAAAAAGAGAGTCACAGGAAGGAAAAAAAACAAAGAACTCTCGTGGTTTGAATGAAAACAACCCCCATAAACCCATAGGGAGTAGCACTGTTACCTGGTATGGCCTTGTTAGTGAAAGTGTCTCACTAGGGGGAGGACTTTGAAGTTTCAGAAGCTCAAGCCAAACCCAGTGTCTCTCTCTCTCTTCCTGCTGCCTGTAGATCCAGATGTAGAACTCTCAGCTCCTCTCCAGCACCGTGTCTGCCTGTGTGCTGCCACACTTCCCACAATGATAATAATGGACTAACCCTCTGAACTGTAAGCCAGCCCCAGTTAAATGTTTTCCTTTATAAGAGTTGCTATGGTCATGGTGTCTCTTCACAGCAATAGGAACCCTGACTAAGACAAACCCCAAGTGTAGAAGTGAAGAAGGTCTTGGAGCTAGATCATCCCACCCAGTGGAAAGCAGACGTCAGAGATTGTCCATATATATATTACAGAATTCATGAGAAAACTGAAATAGCCATTTTTGGCCACTATAGAAGACATCTATGGGCACCACCCATGTTTCCATCCCTGAAGACACCTACTGCCTCACTTTCTCAGGGTGATTCAGTGAACAGTTCTTTGACTTCTGCCACCCCAGAGTTCTCTGCTAAAGAGAGGCCCTGACTCAGGGTCATGCCTCTTCCTAGGCCGCTACCTAGTTCAGCAGCTGATCAACCTGGGGCCATG